AAGACATCAGAAGATGGAAGGACCTCCCATGCTCATGGATTGGAAGAATTAATATTGTGAAAATGACCATCCTACCAAAAGTCATTTATAGGTTCAAAGCAATACCAATCAAAATCCCCATGACATTTTCATAGAATTGGAAAAAAACATCCTAAGATTCATATGGAAACTGAAAAGACCTTGGCTAGCCAAAACAAACCTGAGCACTAAGAGCAATGCCAGGGGGATTACTATACCAGATTTTAAGCTGTATTACAGAGCTATAGTCATAAAACAACATGGTACTGGCACAAAAATAGACCCATAGATCAATGGAACAAAACTGAAGACCAAAATATGAATAAATGCAATTTATTTGACCAAGGGGCCAAGAATATTCACTGAAGGAAAGACAGTATGTTCAGCAAAAGGTGCTGGCAAAACTGGATCACCAACTGTAGAAGAATGAAACTAAACCCCTAACTTTCACCTTGCACAAAAGTCAATTCCAAATGGATCAAAGACCTGTGTAAAGCCTGAAACTCTGAAACTGTTAGAAGAAAACATTGAGAAAAACCTACAAGACATAGGTGTAGGAAAGGATTTTCTAAACTGGACATCAGTTGCCCAGGAAGCAAGGGTAAGAATTAACAAATGGGACCTCATTAAACTAAAAAGCTTCTGTACATCAAATGCAACCAGGGAAGTGAACTGAAAACCCACAGAATGGGAGAAAAATCTTCACCAGCGACACATCTGACAGAGTTTTAATATACAGAATATACAATGAACCCAAAAAACAGAGAATCAAGAAGTGACCCAATTAAAAGATGGGCTAAGGAGCTGAACAGAGAGTTCTCAAAGGAAGAAGTAAAGATGGCTATGAAACATCTTAAAAGATGTTAAACATCAGTAATAATTAGGGAAATGCACATTAAAACCACTTTAAGATTTCATCTTACGCCAATCAGACTGGCTAAGATCAAGAGAACAAATGATACCAAATGTTGGAGAGGATGTGGGGAAAGGGGCTG